TCCAATTTTGCCAACACCATTTGTTAAAAAGGCTGTCGTTCCCCCACTTCACTGATTTCATCTCCTTGTCAAAGATCAGTTGACCATAGATAGATGGGTTAGTCCATGGTATTCTCAATACTCTTCTCCAGCACCACAGCTCAAAGACATCAGTTCTCCTTCTGTCCTCCTTGGTCATTATCCAACTCTCTGATGCTTAACAAGTGATTGTGAAGACCATGGCCTGTATCAGACGCACCTTAGTCTGTACAGAGTTAGGATAAGAAATATGTTTTAATGTTTTCTGAGAATTAATAGATGTGAATGCTATATTAAGCCCAAATTATTTATTTTTTTTGCCATACCTTCATGACAGAAAAGCTTTCTGGTGGTACAATGACTAATGGTGGCATTTGTGTATTTTATAGATCTATCATTTGGTGCATATATGTTGACCAAGGTTATGTCTTCTTGATCTATTGTATCTTTAATCAGTATGTAATGCCCTTATCTTTTATGGTGGTTTTCATTATGATTAGCATTGCCACAGTTGCTTTTTTGTGGATGCCATTTGGTTGATGTATTTTTTTCCAGCTTTTGCTTTTGAGTCTGTCTTTCCATTTTTTAGATGTGGCTCTTGTAGGCAACATATTGATGAGCTTTTTTTGTTTTTTTAATCCATTCTGCTACTCTTTTTATCTTAATTGGTGCATTTAGTCCATTCACTAAGTGTGATTATTGTCAGGCCAGGTTTTACCATTGCCATTTTGCTGTTTCTTTTTATGTTGTTTCTGGTTACTATGGTCCATCCACTTTCCTTTGGCATCACATTGTCTTCTAGCTTGCGTGGTTTCTGCTGAGAAATCAGAACTTGATCTAATTGTTTCCCCTTTGTAGGTGACTCTGTTTTTCTCGTGCTGCTTTTAGTATTTTATCCCTATCTTTTAATTTGGAGAAATTGACTATGCTATGTCTTGCTGTTTTTCTTTTTGGGTCTAGTCTATTTGATATTTACTGTGCTTCTTGAATGTGGATTTCCCAGTTCTTCAAAATACTTGGGAAGTTTTCTTCTAGTATTTCTTCGACAATTTTCTAAGTAACTTCCCTGTCACTCCCATGTTCTGAAATTCCAGTCATAGGTATGTTGTTCCTTTTGATGTCATCCACATGATTCTAATGTTTCTTCATTTTCTTTACATCTCATATCTGATTTTTCATCTCTGCTTTTTCTTCTTGTATGTTTTCAGTGAGACTCTTGTCTTCCAGTTCACTGACTCTCTGTTCCCTCTCTTCAGTTCTACTTTTTTGTCCCACCAGTGTGTTGGACACTTCTGCCATTTTTGTTTTAATATTCTTGATGGCATTTTCATGCTTTTCTTTTATTTCCAGTGTTGGCTGTACTCTCTCTGTCTTGTGATGATTTTTAAAGTTCTTGTACTTTTATCTATACTATCAAGTCTTTCTTCTAACTTTTGCATTTTCTTTTGAAATTGTTCAAGTTGCTCCTCATCAAGATATTTCTTCTGGATTGCTATGTCTGGGGTATTTGCTCTCTTACTGGCTTCCATTGTTTCTTCCATCATTTGTATCTTCTGTAGCTGTTCAAATAACTCCACATCAACATATTTCTTCTGGTTCTCTTTATCTGGGGTATTCATTGGGGCTGCTTTTTTAGGAGAAGGGTTGTTTTGGTTTTTCTTGATGTCTGAGGGTAGTAGTTTTTCCAGTTGGGAACCTGAGGATGTGGCACTGCTGAACAAAGAACAAAGAGAAATAGCGAGGCACAAAGGATCAAGGCAAAAGCCAAGACCCTGAATGTTTATTTCTCTCAGCATATATAGAAAATGCAAGCATTCCATTACTATCAAGCTTCTTGCTACACAGCAGTTATCTGATTTTAAAAAACCTATTTTCAATACAATTGGAGCCTTATAATGATTTGCCCAGAAAATCCTAACAAGCACACACAAAACTTCTCTCTCTTTTCTGCAAACTCTAAGGAAAGTAACTTCTCATTAATCTATATTTTCCGCAAACTGTCAAGGACATTAGCTTCTCATTAATTAAGGCTTCACAGCTGTTCTTCTCTCTTTTGTGAGGTCTTGTGAATGGACTCTGTTTTCCTGGGACACATCTGCATGTTTGTCCAGGTAGCTGTGGTCAGCTATCTTCCTACTGAGTGTTCTCAAAGAAGTATTCTGGACTTTATAGATGCTAGAAAGTCAGCCGAGATACAGTGCTTATGCTAGAAAGTCAGCCGAGGTACAATGCTTTCAGAAACCCTCACAACTGAGGGAGACTGCTGCTTTCTTTACATTATGTGAGTCTTTTCTTAGTAGATGTCAGGTTGTTGTAACCAAATAATGTCCCAGGGTATGGCAAAGTTTTGTGAAGGACCTATATATTGGTGCTTCCCTATTGGTGCATCTGGAAGCAGGATGACTCTTGCCCTCCAGAAACCATGACTACACTTGGCTGGTTTTGCTTGAGCTTAAGAAATCCCATGTGATGTAGCTAGGCAGCTGTGTTCAAGACCAGAGTACCTGTTGTATTGGTGCTCCTGGCACAGGACAGCAGGGCAGTGACAGGCTGGTTTGGTCTCCACACTGTGGGCCTGTCTTGTGTAGTGCAATGGCAGCTCAGTGTCATGCATGGTGGAATTTGATTAATTGTTTGATTATATGTGAATGGGAGAATGTGTATTAAACTTATGAATGGCCTATTTACTTTATATTGATTCAAGCTTGACAAAGAACTGTATTTGTGATACAGGTCCAGTTATGTGGGAGAAAAGAAAAGGTGTAGCTTTTGGAGGAAACAATTAGGAAACAAATGTCATTTATTCCTGAAGTTGTCAGTGAAGTTGATTATGGTGTTCTACTATATATTTTTGTGCCTCCTCAAAAATTGTTAGTAAGGTTTCTCTTTAATATATAGCCAAATAAGACTAGTCATTTAATAAGAACTAAACCGGTATGTTAATAATGTAATTTCCCTCCCCTCCCCCCCCGCCCTGTGTATTATGAAAGTATTTATTTGTGGAGGAGCCAGTAAAGTTCCTATGGGCTTTTATTTGCTTTTCAGAAATTCTCCTCTACTCAAGAGTGAAAAACTTAATCTGGAATGTAGGATAAGCGAATACAGTGCCAGGCCTTCAGTATGGATAATAGTTTCTACCCCCTCATTTATGTCCTCTTGGTAAAAATAATCCATGTTTTATGATAACTCCTTTACTTAATATATAAAGGATAAGACAGAGTATAACATTTTACTACAGTATTTCAGATCCTCTTTCTTCTTTTAGGAGACAGACAGGAAAATGGCAAAGATAACCTAAACTTGGAAACCTCTTGGGACCAGAAGCCTCCAGATGCCCCTTGTCATATTTCAGGAGAGCCCCATCCTCAGGGATCTTTGAATGGCTTCTTTGGTGAGAATGAACAGAGATGCTCTGGAGAAGGAGATTATCTCCCTAAGATGGAAGGACACCTCCAAGGTGAAGAGAGAGGGCAGCAGCTCTCTCCTCAGGAAAGAGTTTCTGGGAAACAGCTGGACCAGCATTTGCCTGATTCTCATGCAGGAGATCTGTCTGTGCTATGTCATGAGGAGAAGCAAGAAGCCCCCCAGAAGGACCAGCTGAGACCTCCCTTGACCCCAAAAATACCCACCTGCAAAGAGTGTGGGAAAACCTTTTATAGGAATTCTCAGCTTGTATTCCATCAGAGAACTCATACTGGAGAGATGTATTTTCAGTGCCCCACCTGTAAGAAAGCGTTTCTACGGAGTTCAGATTTAGTGAGACATCAGAAAATTCACACAGGAGAGAAGCCTTGCAAGTGTGACCATTGTGGGAAAGGCTTCATTGACTCTTCTCGATTACGCCACCATGAGAAAGTCCACACAGGAGAGAAACCGTATAAATGTCCTGTCTGTGAAAAGAGTTTCATTCACAGATCCCAGTTTAATAGGCACCAGCAGGTCCACACAGGAGAGAAACCATATAAATGTCCTCTCTGTGAAAAGAGTTTCATTCAGAAATACACCTTACATAGACACCAGCGGGTCCACACAGGAGAAAAACCTTATAAATGTCCCTTCTGTGAAAAATGTTTCAGTCACAAGTCTACCTTTAATATACACCAGCGGGTCCACACAGGAGAGAAACCCTATAAATGTTCTCTCTGTGAGCAGAGTTTCATTCGGAAGGCCACCTTAAATAGACACCAGCTGGTCCACACAGGAGAGAAACCCTATAAATGTTCCCTCTGTGAAAAGAATTTCATTCAGAAGTCCAACTTTATTAGACATCAGATGGTCCACATAACAGAATAACCTTATAAATGTTCCTGCAGAGGGAATAGTTTCAGCAGGAGCTAAAATTTTGATACACAACAGAGATCCCATTTGGGGAAGAAGTCTTCTCCATAGCCAGACTCTTAGCTCTTGTCTGTGTCTGTCCAGTGACAAATACTGAGATTTTAGAATCACCTGAAGAATAACATCTGTTCTATTACTATCTATTCTCATGAATAATAAGAGAACCGGCAGTTGTCTTTGAACTTGGGAAGCTAGATTGGGCTCTTGGAATGAACTTCGTTCTTGTTTAATGTCTTCTAACAGAAGCTGTGATTACTGTCTACAGGAACTGAGCTCAACCCTTTATAACTAAGATTCCAGAGCATGTCTTTCCGATAACGAAGTGCAAGCACATATAGAGGATTAAGGAGCTCATGTGTGCTCTTTGATGGGTGGGTATAATGTGAACTTGATGTGCCGTTTCTTCAAATAAACTCGGTGGAGTCACTTCTCCTCTCAGTTGTGTCTGAAATGTTCACTCTGTGTTGATTTACATTGAAAATGTGTTTTCTCCCCAAAGACCCCAAATGAGAGTTAAATTCCTTGGTAAGACTATAGTCAGACTCTTCCTTTTAAATATGGTCACTGAGAAAATGTTCCCACTGAACTCCTTAAATGTGAGTATGGCAAAGAGTGAGGTCAGCATGGGGATAGCCATTTCTGACCTTTATTAACTCTCCAATGGGTAAGTGTCCTCATCAAGTGCATCTACAGTACAAAACCAATTCTTGTGAATCAGACATAACTCCATACTCCTGCTCCTACTTCTAAGTCCAACACCAGTCCTATTGCTCTCCAGGAACTGAAGTCCATTGCAAACAATAGCTACACACACTTCTCAGAACAATTCACACCAGTATGAGGTTTATTTGGAAGGTGAATTGTTTACAACTCACATTTGACAATAGTGAATTGTGCTTGCAGGCCTTTCAAGTCTTGTACCTTTAGGGCGGTGCTAAAAAGCTCACTTAGTGCTTTTAGAAACATGGCGCTGTAGAAGGATGTTTGGGCAGACTTTAGTCTGACCAACAAACACCATGGCAGGCAATCTGCTTGTGTTTTATGCATCCTGTGCCTTACTCTGTTGGTCAAGAGTTTTGATATCATGGTCTTATTCTACCTGGTTTGTGAATTTACTAATTGCTTGAAAGGACAGGGTTAGGACTTAAGGAAGTTTGGAATGTTTTTGTTTTAGAGGATGATAGTGTGCTAGGAACTGGCCTTTGCAAGAAGAGTACAGGGACTTTTTTCTTAATTTTCCAAAAAGGTTCTTATTTATTTCAGCTTTAATTTCATCTTGTAACTTTTGAAGAAAAAGTACATATTTTTCTTATAATTCTCCACTCATTATATGTTACACTTTTTATCTTCTTTTTTTTTTTTTTACTTTGATGTTCTTGAGTATCTAGCAGAAAGAGACAGAGTAAGGAGGAGGCTGTTTGGTTATGGGTGTTTCTATAAGTTTTTTAATTATCCTCCTTGTACAAGGTATGTTACAACAACAAGTACTAAGACCTTAAATACAATAGTGATACCAGAACAGAAGTCATTAATCTTTTCTGTTTTTCTAACTTTAATTCTCTGAGATTAGAAAACGGATTATTTACACTTGAGTTTTTAGTTAATTAAGTTGCTAGATTGGTTCTTTTTTTAAGGCTTTGGTAATGGTATTAGCTGCAACAGTGTTGGGGATAAAGGTACAACATTCGTTCTAATCATTATGTACATGCTACTTGGAGAAACACTTAACTGAAGGAACTTTATGGGATAAAATCCAAGGATCCTGGGCTGGAGTTTTGTGAGAGGGACAAACACTGTCTAGAGTAAAAAATTAGGCAGGTGCATGGGCGCAAGATGAGGTGGCCACATTAGGTTAGCAGCATGAGGCAGCTATGGAAGCCCTTTAAGTACTGTGTCTAAACAAGGAAGGCTAAAGGCCGTATGACCTATGTATCTTAGCTGTGGATACCCATGAGTCTGGCTAGGATCCCAAGAATAACCACAGCTGCATCCTTGGGGAGTCTATGGATTCATTCTGCTCCAGACAAATAGCCAGTTCTCTGGAAGAGAGCATGTAGTCCGGAGATAAGTAATGGACACATTAAGAGACATAAGTAATTATTACCATACTTTGGCCCTAAGTGAAATGGATATCATATAATTTACTTGGTAGTAGTCTTTGAGCATCTTCCTTGTTATATTACTGTCCAAACTTGTCCAAGAAAAATGTCCTTAAATACAGTAATCTACTCTGATAGTTTAAAATTTTGCTGGTGCAGCAGTATGATGGAAGCCTTCTTCCTGTGGGATCTATAGCTCCTCCTCTTCTCTCTACTGACTTTCTTCTCAGCCTCTTCTTTAACCTCTCTGTTCTTTTCATTCTCTCCTCTGGGAGTCTCACATGCTGTTTGGGAAGTGGGGACAGCGACCATTCTACTTCCTGCTTGAAGGGGTTGTAGTTTTGTGAACAGAAGTTACACTCCTTTGGATGGAGACTGATTCAGGGGACCACACAAGATCTGGGTGCTAATGCTAAGTTCTGTGTCTAGACTATTTGTAGTGTGTTCTGAATTTAAACTTGGAAAGCATGTTAAAAAGACAAGATCTTAAAGTATTTTGAACTAAGATAAAACTTTTAAGATTAAAACTTGATTTGCCTAGATTTTCTCATTTTAAAGATTATGCAGAACAATTCAGTGTTACTTAAATTTCCCTTTTTCACTTTTACTTTCTAGCGACTTCCTCGTAACATTCTAGTCATTTAATTTTACTGTCTTGAAAAAAATACTTTTTCCTTTCAGACTAAATTTTCTTTTCCTTCTAGAAGAGTACCACTCTTATTATCCTTTTACTCAGCCACAAATTTACACACACTTTCTTATGCCTTCTACAACTGTTGAATCAGTTCTCACAAACTCTCATCCCTTCTACAGTGATTTATAGATGAAAGTAAGTTTGCACTTTGGCTTCAGGCAACGTACAGGTTTCACAGCCTTTAGGAGTTTTACTAACATTTTTTATTTTTTAAACTTATAGAGATTCATGGTTCAAGGACTGCAGCCTACAATATGGATTGAGGCTCAATGTCAAGAAGACAAAGATTCTCACCACTGGACCAATTGGCAGCATCAGGATGGATGG